AGAATTTCCTCCCAAAATCACATCTAACCCTGTCATCTGGCAGTAGAAAACCATCCCCCCTTGTCCTGTTATTCCAGACCCTTGTCCAAAGTCTCTCTCCAGCTCTCTTGGAGTCCCTGTTTAATCTCCTGCAGAAATCAGAGTTGGAAAATACATTATTAAAGGCACCAGTAGCAGGTTGGGGACCTGTAACAAGGATTTAGCAGTGCATTAAGTGATTTTCCTGCAGGTTTTCCCCTRAACTGCAGTCAGAGCTGCAGCTGCAGTGTTATTTGGGAGAGACGAGGAGAAAGAGCAGACAGATGATAAATGGTGACAGATGAAGTGGAGAGCAGATGTGATCAGTGCCACCATAAAGGACATCAGTGGAGCAGCTCGTTTTTACTGGCTCATTAGACATGGAACCCTCAGCACCGGGATATTGAATATATTTAATGTCTTGAGTTRCAGTCCTCGTAAAATCTGTTCTTTTTCTTCTCTTCTGGACTGCAAACTGTTGTCTGCTGGGTCGGTTTAACATCCAAATGGAAGAAAACACTCACTGAATAACCCATCCTGTGGCACTGRGAGAGGAGTGCAGTTAATCAGAAACCAACTGAAGAAAAAAATGTGACTAAATTTCTTCCTGTTGTTTTGTTCCTCAGATCTTTTAGACCCACTTCTAGAGCAAAACCATCTTCCAGCAGTGCAGGAGAGAGTAGCCTTAACTGTTTTGTTCGAATATTTTTTTTTTATAATGTGAATTCCTTCCAAGTTTATTTGCAATTATAACATCAGAGGGAAATGATGTTATAGAAAAAAATCTATAAATCCATTTTGGTGATAAACTGTTCCTTCAAGAGGGGCTTGTGGAGCTGAGCTTGGCCTTTCTGCAGCCAGGACAGACATCATTCTGTAAGGAAAGAGGCTCTGGGGTTTGTTCAGAGCACACGTTTGTCTCTGCACTGGAGTTAGAACAYTGCACTTGGCAGAGCTGAATAAAATATGAACACACATCTTTTGAAGGCCAGATTCCCTGGGCACAGTGTCAAATCTCTCGATTTTGGAACGGTTTCATGGGATAAGCTGGGAGAAGGGAGATGTGGGTGTAAATCAGGGAGTTTGAGCTTTGGTAGGTTTCAGAAGGTTTGATTCTAATTTATTTTTTGCTTGTCTTCTACTCTGGTGCTGCAATGCCTTAACACTGGGGTGATTTTACACCCTTTAAAATCTCTTTTACCTGAGGASTGGAATAGTTTAGATGACACACAGATCTGAGAGCATCCAGACAGACTCCTGACCGTTCCAGGGGTCGATACAGGCCCTGAGAGCAGACAAAAGCTGCAGGAGCTGAGCTGGAAGGGCTATTAATTTTTCACAAAACAAACTAAAAAAAAGAAATCTTACATTAAAAATAGAAAAAGCTCTGATGGTAAACTCTGCAGTGGTAAAATTCAAAGCAAATCACTTCACTGAGCTCCTTGATGTAGAAATCATTACTGCCACTCTGCTGTATTAAATAAAAAAAAAGAGCTTTTGCTGTTGCAGTCTGGTTTAGTTTCCAATTAATGCTGACAGAACAAGTATTTATCAAGGGCTGGGCAGCATTGCAGAGGTAATGCATTTCTCATGAATGCTGTACTTCATTCTGGAGTAGTTCATATATGCCTTATTCATAGCACCAAAGTCACATCTATAATTAAATTATTAAATTTAAGTAAATACCCTTCCAACTGCAGCTGAAAAGAAATTTAAGAGCTGAGTGTGGAACCTGGGCTGGTGTGTGAGGTGGGGCAGCATTGCAGAGGTAATGCATTACTTCATTCTGGAGTAATTCTGGAGTAGTTCGTACATGCCTTATTCATAACTCCAAAATCATGTCTGTAATTATTAAATTTAGGTAAATACCCTTCCAACTGCAACTTGAAAAGCAATTTAAGAGTTGAGTGTGGAGCTGAGCTGGTGTGTGAGGTGGGGCCGCACTTCAACTCTCACTGTGAAGAACAGGCACCTCAGAAGTTTCTGRATCTTCAATTCATGCTCAGAATGAACACATTTACAGATCCATCACTGCCTTCCCAACCTTCCCAAGGAGTTTTCCACCAGGCAGCAAAAACCTGGTGTTGTTTGTTCTGCCGTGATGTGGGACAGAGGCAGAAGGGGRTGGCTGAAGGGTCCTGGAGCAGAATGTCCATCTCCTGATCCCCGGGCTGAGAATCCCCCAAAARGGAACRAACTGATGGCTCTGGATCGTGGAATTGTGAAAACTCAGAATGGTTTGAGTCAGAAAATACCTCAAAGGCCGTGCAGTGCTTGAACAGGGACAATTTCCACCATCCCACATTGCTCCAAACACCAATGTCCAACMCGGCCTCGGATACTCCCAACAATGGAGCAGCCACAGCTTCTCTGGGAAACCCATCCCAGCCCCTCCTGGGGAAGTTTATTTCCCAAATGTCCCATCTTTTCCTCAGTTTGAAGCCATTCCTGTTGTCCTGTCACCATCAGAACCACTTTCAGGGCCTTTGTGCTGTCCCAGGCCTCGTGTTTTGTCCCTCCTGTCAGTGGAGAATCCTCACAGGATTCTCACAGGATTCTCACACAATTCTCACAATGTGTGGGATGAGAGGCTCTGCCCCGGGCACAGAGGATTCCTGACGGGTTTTTAGCACCCATCTGAGGCACCAGAGCTGTGTTTTTGATGGGCACAGTCACCATCTGCAGAGGATTCTCCTTCTCCAGTCACGGGGAGCAGCGGGATCCCGGCACAGGCCAAGGTGTGGAGAGCAGCTTGACAGGCAAAAAAAAAGTAAAAAAAGGGGTTTTCTACAATTTCTTTTTATGGTCAGGTCACCCTGAGAGYGAAAGTACTGTCAGTGAGTGAAAATATGTCAGGAAGCAGTTCTTTGAGTTGGTGGTGCCTCTGTAAAGGAGCTGCGTTTTGGAATGAAGCACAGCGGAATTTCACACCAGTGCAACCAGTTTGTTAAATGGGATTTGGGGCTGTGTAAATGGGGTGTGGTGCTGTGTAAATGGGATTTTGTGCTGTGTAAATGGGATGTGGTGCTGTTAAAATGGGATGTGAGGCTGTGTAAATGGGATATTGTGTTCTATAAATGGGATTTTGTGCTGTGTAAATGGGATGTGGTTTTGTGTAAATGGGGTGTGGGGCTGTGTAAATGGAATTTGGTGCTGTGTAAATGGGATGTGGTGCTGTGTAAATGGAATTTGGTGCTGTGTAAATGGGATGTGGTGCTCTATAAATGGGATTTGGTGTGTAAATGGAATTTGGTGCTGTGTAAATGGGATGTGGTATTCTATGAATGGAATTTGGTGCTGTGTAAATGGAATTTGCTGCTCTATAAATGGAGTTTGGTTCTGTATAAATGGAATTTGGTTCTCTGTAAATGGAATTTGGTGCTCTATAAATGGTATTCGGTCTCTATAAATGGAGTTTGGTTCTCTATAAATAGAATTTGGTGCTCTACAAATGGGATTTAGTGCTCCATCACCTATCCAAACCTGTGGATCAAATCCTGCCTTGCAAGAAAAAYCCAATTTATTTCCCATCCCACTGCTCCAGCAGGCCCATCCCTGTCCTGCCAGCACCACRAGGGCTGACAGAGCATCACTGGTCCCTGCTCACACAAACCCTCGTGTTACCAATCCAASAGGAGCTTCATTGGCACGGCTCAGGGGCCATTACAAGGCATTCACTTCTTTTCTGAGTTTATTTTGAGAKGAGCAGTAATTCATCCTGAATGGGGATGAGCTGGTAAATCTGTTTTGTGTAATATTTGCTGGATGTTTGGCCATCAGAAGTATTTCTTTGCTTTACCAGACAGGGATGAGCTTGTAATATTTGCTGTCCTTAAAAGCCCTTTTAAAGCCACACTTGATATCATATTTTATTTTCCTTGGCTGAAAGGGGTTTGATTGCTTTTAGTGTAGTCACATTTTTATGTAGTTCCAGAAATKAAGTGGCTTAAAAGGACTCCCTTGGGAGCGACCAGGGGCTTAAGGAAAAATAGAATTTTGTTGGTAAAACCAAAAAGAAAAAAAATCACTCAAAGCACTGAGGTCCCAGCCTGGAACCTTAGTGGGTCCTGCCCTGCTCGCTGCATCCCCTGCTGTGCCTGGGGCACCTGCAGGTATTTACTGATCTCACCCAGAAATTATATTAAAACTTCACATTTTTACACCATGTGTGTTTTGTGTGTCTGTGGAGAATCATCTTCTCTCATTTTTGAGAAGATTCAGCCATGTTGAGCTTGCGGTGTTAGAAGTCTGTAAATGTTTAAAGGTTTAAAAAGTCAGTAAAAATCATCTTTAGCAACAGAAGTTATTGTCTGGTTTATTATATTTTGCCTTAAACAGGTCTGTGTGTAGCTCAGTTAATTTGCTTTGGTTGTAAACCTGGTAGGACATTGCCAGAAGCATCTCTATTACTGCAAAAGATGGAGAATGTATTTAGAAGGAGTTTTACAAAGAAATAAAGTTGTTTCACTTCACAGGACTGTCCACAGTAGTGAAGAGTGCAGGTGTCATTTAAATGATATTTTATTCCCAGTGTGGATATTTAAAATCTGGCATTTTCCAGTCTCTTCAGGGTTGTTTACATGCTTTGTGAAATGACTATGAAAGTAACACTTCAGCTTTCATGACATTGTACCTCTGATGTTTTTAAATTTTCATCTGCTCACAGAAAATACATTGGAGTGTTTTTTTGTAAAAGTAACACTTCAGCTTTCATGACATTGTACCTCTGATGTTTTTAAATTTTCATCTGCTAACAGAAATACATTGGAGTGGTTTTTTGCTGTCTGGGGTGTTTTGAGCTGTCAGTGATCAGCAATAATAAAAAACACAATTTGGTGTTGGTTTACAAGTGCAAATCCAGCCAGCTCTGTTTCCCAGAGATGGATGTGGTTGAAGGATTAGCAGAAGCAAAAATTGTCCTCAAAAGTTGTTTTGTTGGTGTAATAAAAAATACTAACATGCTTTTTTCCTTCTGATTTCAGGAGTGGCCACACACTGCTTGCCTTCTGGTTTTCCCGACAAGAAGGAAAATTAAATCGGCAGCAAACCATTGAACTGGGGCATCACATTCTCAAAGCACATATTTTTAAGGTAAAAATTGAAAAATTCATGCCAACCTCATCCCCGGCGCTGGCAGCGCTCAGTCTCGTCTTGTCGTGGGGTTGGTGTAAAAAGAGTGATTGCTGAAGCGTGTGGAAGTGAGCTTTAAAAAATTGGCTGTGCTATCTCAGAAATCCTTCAAATTAAACCCTCCCTCAGACTTTAAATTCAGCAGATAGCCTCCTTACCTAAAATTGCTCTCCTGCCATAAGATGCTTCTTCCCCCCGCTGGAGGATGAGTTCCTGCAGCAAGCATCTAGAAAATAGGAAATCTTTTAAAAGGAGCAATGTAAAAATGTAAAAATTAGGTTGTAAAGGGAGTATTTGATAGTTGTTCAAAGTGGCTGATTGGTCCATCTTACTCTTCACACAAACAGGACAGAAAAAAAAAAACAACTTGGGCTTGTGGGGGTTGGCAAAATTTTTCAKATGTTCAGGCCATACCCTGGTCTCRTGTCCCARTGAAGTGGGAACCACTGATGGTATTTTTGGTTTGATGTTGGATCAAGTTGGAATTTGTTTTTGCTGAAGGATTTGCCCCTTCTTCCACAGTTCTGAAGAGGGAAAATTAGAAAAGGAAGATATGAGCTATAAAATGAGAAATAAAACAGGCTTTTTTCAGCAACGGAGTGATAATGGTGTTGAACGTATTTTTTCTTTAAACGATAAATGTCACCTCTTATATCTTGCACTAATATCTAAATATGTATATTCTAATGCAACAGTTAAGGTTTTTATAACATCTGTGATTGTCTTCAGAGGACTGTTCTCAAAATGTCTCCCCTTTTCCTTGGTCTTGATGGTGATTCAGGCAGCTTATTTATGGGTTTGAKAGCAGTATAACTATTTTAAATTATTTTAACTGTTTATTATAAAATTACTTTCTGTTTCCCAGTTACACCATCCTAAATTCAAGAAATTTAATGTTGACAGTGGCTCAAATTCCCGAGTTCTTTCTCCCTCTTAACACAAGCAGGTGTTTTTCTTGCTTTAGCTCCCTGAATTTTAGGGAAACGAGCACATGGAGCTGTTATTTGTGAGAGCTTGTCTAATCTATTTCTTCTTTTGGTGATAAAACCATTCCAAGTGACAAACCAAAAGTGAAATCAAGCTGATGGCTGGGGCGATGCTGCAGATGATCTTTCACACAAGGAAATCAGAAGTTTCTGTTTTATATCAGTCCCTTTGGATGGATTTATTGCATCCCCTGTGCCAGATTCTCCAGCAGGTGCAGCAGCAAAGTCTCCTTGTTTGGGAAGGTGATGGCTGGAGCCCAAAGAAGAACCCCAGATTGGTGCATTCCCCCTCTCAGGGTGCCAATTTCACATTTTCAATTGCATTCCCAAATCTTCAGCCCTGAGTTTTCTGTTCAGCTGCCATTTACATCTGAATATTGCTCCAAATCCAGCAACAGGTCAGGATGATGATTCCCACACTTCTCCTTTCAGAGGAGACAAATCCCACCTTGTGCTGCTGRTTTTGTTCCACCAGTGCTGTCCCAGTCCTGGGCAGGCAAACTGGAACCAGGACCAAGGAAGTGAAAATCAGGGTTTGCATTTTAAACCAGAATGAAAGATGCCTGCGTGGTTTCCATGGAATCAGCAAGCTTTTATGGGAAATTGGTGGCAGAGCAGCAGCACTCAGGGCACACTCACTGAAAGTTCCTGAATTTATCTTACTGTGAACAGACTCTGTGTACTTTATTAAAAAAAAAGAAAAAAAGCATCAATCCATGCTTCTTAACGTGACATTTTGTGAGGGTGTTGAATGGATCTGGTTGCTCACTGTTTCATTCTGCCTTTTCTAGACCTTGGAGATGGCTACATTAACTTTACAAGTAATTTTCTGCAAGCTTAATTAATTGATTGTGAAGGTCAGATACGGTGAATTGTCACATTATCTCAGGTGTTGTCATTATTGTCCTGAAACTCCTTTTAAGTCCTGAAACGCAGGGGGAGCTGCCCAGTGTAATTTATGAGCTTGGATCTGAGTTGCTTTCTCTTTTTCAGGGTCTGAGTAAAAAAGTTGGGGTGTCTTCCTCCATCCTGCAAGGGCTTTGGATYTCCTACAGTACTGAAGGTCTTTCAATGGCTTTGGCATCCCTGAGGAATCTCTACACCCCAAATATAAAGGTACTGGAGGAGGAGGGGGAGAGTTGGGGCTTGAAAAGCTCCAGCATTTGGCAGTGACCTTGCAGATGATTCCCTGGATTCCTGGCCAGGCTGAGCAGTTTATTGAGTGTTTCCTGAGCTCAGGAAAGTCCTTCAGACCCTCCACCTGAGGGTTTTTTACCATTTGGGGTGGTCCCTCAACTCTGCCCTTTTGACCTTTTCACTGCAATGAGCCAACAGTGGTTTTGTGCACTCATTTTGTGCAAAATGAGGTTTTTCCTTCCCAAAGATCTGGACTGCCACAACTGGTGTTGGAATTTGGCAGCCCACGTGAAGGGCTCTGGCTCAGATAGGCACGMACTCTGAGGTGACACCAAATCATGTGCTGGTTCAGGCACTTTTGCAGGTGAATGTATTGATTTAGGTGAGCCCATGTCCACAGCAGAAAGGATTTCAGACAGGTTTGGAATTGTTTTCTCACATGGAAGGATATTTGTCCCAAGTCCTTCCCAGCCAGGCAAGGTGAGCTCAGTGTCCCCATGTCCCTTCCTTGTCACTCTCCAAGTGCACTGCTCAAAGTGCAGAGGGAGCTGTGGAGTGGGGACATGGGGTGACAGCCAGAAAAGGGGGTGACAGCCAGAAATTGGGTGACAGCCAGACCAGGGGGACACCGAGACCAGGGGGACAGCCAGACCAGCCCTGGAGAGGGATCCCATGGGAAGATGCTGAGCACAGCTCTCTCCAGCTGTGTTTTGATTCCCCATCCTCACCCCATCCCCAGCTGCTGCAGCAGGGCTGGAGTCACTTTGTTCCCAAACAAAAGGGGGTTGCATCCTCCAGCCCACTTCCCATCCACCTGGGAAATGATCCAACTGCTCCATCTACATAAAACGGGACCATCTATCAGAAAAAGCTGTTTTTTCAGCATTTTGTCGTTTGTTGTTTGCCTGGAGACTCGCCAGGGTTTTACCCAGGTTTATATTTTGCTGTCACCATGACAATAAACCCCCATTTCTCCACACAGGTCAGCCGGCTGCTGATTTTAGGAGGAGCAAACGTGAATTACCGGACGGAGGTTTTGAATAATGCCCCCATCCTGTGTGTCCAGTCTCACCTGGGCTATGCTGAGATGGTGGCTTTGCTCCTGGAATTTGGGGCCAACGTTGATGCTGCTTCAGAGAGTGGCCTGACCCCGCTGGGCTATGCAGCTGCTGCTGGATTCCTGAGCATTGTGATGCTGCTGTGCAAAAAAAGGGCCAAGGTAAAGCCAGCACGTTGCTCAAAAGTTGATTTAAACATCTTCACATTTGTTGTGGAGCTGCAGCAGGACATAGAACAAGAAAATCCTCCTATGGGAGACTGGATTTCTCTTGGAAAATAAACARCAGCAATCATCTTTTATGTGTTTTTTCAAACTAGGAACCCARCCATCCGTGAACCTTGGTCTTGGTCTGTTGAGACAAACTTGYATTTCAGCCTAATCTATTTCAGGCTTTCAGTAAATGGGATTAGAGAAAAAGAACTGCAACATGTGTGAGTTCAGGGCGCAGGGGAAGAAAATTAGAAAAAATGAGAAAAGAAAATAAAACACTGGGGAAAGCTTGTAATTCAGACACAGCTTTTGTGGGAGATGGGATTTGTGGCCTGAAAAACATTGAGCACAGTGGGGAGACAGAACTAAAATGCACATCCCACAGTGCTTATCTGACTGAGGAGCAGGACTTACCTGAGCAAAACACAAGGAAACAAACCCAAAGTACATTTTGCATTGGCAGAGGCTGCTTTTGGTATTTTTTTTTTCCTGCTGAAATGCAGTGGGTTTAAAATAGTGGGTTTAAAAGTTGGTGTGAGGTAGGAGCTGCCTCGTGATGCTGCTCCAGTGACCTGCACAAGGATRTTCTGGAGAAATCCTTGAACCTCACAAGGTTAAAATGGCAAYGCTGCTTTTCCAGCACAAAGCATTCTTTAAATATCTCCCTGAGACACATTTTGCAAACATTTCCATCAGACTTGTCCTAGAAAAATCCCCTTTGTTTAGCTTTGTGATGAGTGTTTGGAGTTTTAATTGTATATAATGAGTCRAGTTGAAATACTTCATGGAAGAAGAAAATTGTGCTGATTTTTGAAGTGGAGCCTCCTGGAAACAATTTGTGGTTTCTCTATATGTTTAATTTCAGTTCAAAAGGCAAAATATGGGTTTGTGTAGTTTTGGTGTGGATRTCAGGATGACTGAGGGACTTTTTAGATCTTGCTGGGTTGTGCAGTCTGTAATAACGTGAGGACAGTACAAAGGAAAAAAAGAACATTGCTTTTGTTGGGTATTTTGAGTGAGTTTAGTGGCAGAAGTCCTGTCACTTWGAGTTTTCCTTGAATATCCCTCACAGTACTGAGGAGATGCCCCAAAACAYGGCTGGGTGTGGTTTGAGGACTGAGATATTTGCAGAAAAACTTCAATATTGATAACTGCAGGAGYTGAGAAAGGAGAAATACTGATATGTTATTAATGTGTTATAATATATGAAATATTTTTCATGTGCATTTTATAACTGTGGTGTAGTGCTGATATTCCCTGGGTCCCTGGAAGTGCTTGAGGTCAGGTTGGATGGAGTTTGGAGCATCCTGGGATGGTGGAAGGTGCCCCTGCCCACAGCARTGGGGTGGAATGAGATGGACTTTAAGGTCCCTTCCAAACCATTTTGTGGTTTGCAGTGCAGACCACATTAGTATCAGTAAAATATAGTAATTAATATCAGTAAAATATCCGTAAAATTAATATCAGTAAAATTAATATCAGTKAATTAATTAATTAATTCAGTAAAATATAGTAATAATAATTGTTATTTTTATGACAAATAACATGTTACAGAGCATGGAAAGGATTAACCAGCAGGATGATGAYAACTGACCTGCCTTTCTGGTGCTCTCCAAGTTCCTGCTCTTGTGACAGCACCTGCAAAGTGCCACTGATGTGTTCAGGCATCAAGTGGAAACTGTGCCCCAAAATTCAACCAAATAAATTCCCCCATTGCTGTCAAGCACTGTCTCTGTTTCCTATTGACTGTGCCTGCACTGGGTTCACATTTCTGTGTCTGACTGCAGGATGAGGCACCTCTGGGCCTCTCAAAAGAACTGACACCTTCAAAACAAGCTGTKTTTTTGTAGATTTGGCTAAAGGAGATGATATCAGTGTGTGGTATTTCAATGCATGAGAAAATCTGAGTGCTGGACATCAGGACACAAAGGAAAAAATAAAATTTGTAGTCTTTGAGCCTGAGGAAAACTGAAGAAACCTAAAAAAGTAATGATAACTTCCYCAAAGCAAACATTTGTGGCCAAGAGGATGCCAGAGCCTGGGACATTCTTTGGAGATGTTTGYTTTCTGGTCACTGAAGTGATAGTTTACCAGAAAAACACACATTTTGCATATGTGGCGTTACTTTGAAGCTGGGATTGGAAGCTCTGGAGAAGCAGAGAYGTTTTGCCCATGATTTGGTTTAACTGTGTTTTGTCATCTCTGCCCAAGGTGGATCATCTGGACAAGAACGGGCAGTGTGCCCTGGTGCACGCCGCTCTCAGGGGACACTTGGAGGTGGTGAAATTCCTGATCCAGTGTGATTGGAGCATGGCTGGGCAGCAGCAGGGGGTGTTCAAGAAGAGCCACGCCATCCAGCAAGCCCTGATTGCTGCTGCCAGCATGGGCTACACCGAGGTAGGACCTGCTCTGCCAACCAAGGCTTGGCTCTATCTGCCCACCCACCAAAAAGCACCTGGAGGTGGAATCCAGAGTGCTTCTGTCCATCCCATCC